CCAGCTGCACCAGAGCCTGGCTGTGCCAGGGTCCAGCTCTGCCAGGGCCCGGCTGTCCAAAGGTCCGGCTGCACCAGAGTCCAACTGTCCCAGGGCCCGGCTGTCCGGGTCCCACTCTTCTCCCAAACAAGCTGTGATAGAATGGAATATGTGGTTTTATGTCCGTCTGCCAGGAGGGATTAAGGCTGGACATCAGGAGGAATTTCTTCCCAGAATGGRGTGATTAGACATTGGATTAGACTGCACAGGTAGGTGGTGGAATCACAGTCCCTGGAGGTGTTTAAGACTGGAGGTAGCACTCAGTGCCATGATGTGGTTGACATGGTAGTGTTGGAACAGAGGTTGGACTTGATCTCCAATGTAATTGAATCTCATTTTCTTTAAGAGCCGCTGCAGAGCACTAGTCCACATTGGCTGGAAAGGTCTGGTCATCTGCAGGGACAATGGCAGTGACTGGGGGCTGCAGATGGCCCTGGCAGTGGTTGGAGAGCCCTGAGCCAAGCCCACTGCCCCATGAGGCCTCAGCACATCACCCTGGTGTGCAGAGAGCACTGTGGGACAGCCAGGAGGGGACACATCCCTGTGCTTGATGTTGATTGATGAACATGCTGCCACTGTGAGCCTGGGATGGTGTTCAGGATTTGGGTCTCCACTGGCACTTCCCCCCAACCCCACAGGACAACCCTGGCCAAGCCCCTGGTGGGCAGAACTTTACTGCCATGGGAAAGGAGCAGCAAGGCCTTGGGGGAACTGCCAGGCGTGCCAGTGTGGCACAGTGGCTTGCTGTGTGAGCCAGGCAGGACACAGGAACAACCACAAAACATGAATACAAGGCAAAGATGAAATTTATTTTTATTGCCTCGCCAAATGGAGGATCCTCCAAGCAGCACCCAGGCAGAAGCACATAAGCAGAGATGCAGGCACTGTGGAGCTTGATCCACCCTAGGTGATCACTGAACCTGCTGTTTTTGCCTGTCTATCAAGGATCTGTGGAGTCGTGGTTTACCACTGTGATTTGATCTTTCCTACAGCAGGACTGGAATCTCAAGCATGTTAAATAAGGTGCCACTAAGTCTGTCACAGACTTGTGTTATCTAAATACAGTTCTACTTACTGAACACACAAGGCTAAACAACTATGAGTATGGTGTATGTGTTTTTCTACATCAGCCGCAAGCCACTTGAGCATGTTTACAATCTTCCTTGCCCGTCTTCCATTATTTTTCCACACTTGGCCCTCCTGGGACTCTCTACCCCTGTGTTGCTACCAGCTGGCCAGTGGCACCTGCCTGTTGATCGCCAGGACATGTCCCTGGATGTGCCTGTGGGCACTCGGAGCAGGGAGCTGGCAGGAAGCAAGACCAGGGATCCAGGGCATTTGGCAGAGGCATGGCAGGAGCAGGGAGCGGGGCCTGCAGAGCAGTAAGGTTTGGGCAGCAAAGCTGTGGAGCAGGGGGCTGCAGGGCTGCAGGATTGTGTCACACTCTCCCATAGCTGTTCTTGTAGGGGCTGTGCTCGCTGGGGGCAGTTGGCATTGGAGGTGGTGGGTGGTTGCTGCTGTCCCAGGTGGGCTCGTGGCTGTCCTTGGGTGGCAGCTCAGTCACATAGCAGATGTTCTCACTGTAGTTGGGCTTGAAGCTCTCCACGACATCTTTGGGGACTCCAGCCCATTCCTCCAGGGAGCAGAGCAGGGTGAGAGGAGCTGCCACCCAGCCCAGCCCCAACCCCGCATGACAGGGAGAGCCCAGGGCAGAGTTGCCTGCAGCACCTTACCTGGAAGTTGCCGTTGTGTGTAATGAACAGCTCATCAAAATTCTTGCTGGGATTGGGAATTCGGGGCATCAGGATGACCCATACCCTGTGCAGGAGACGTGTGTCAGAGGGAAAGTGTCCCAGTGCTGCTGCCCCCAGTCAGGTCCCCACACTCACCTTTCCATGCGCACCAGCAGGATGACAAGGACCAGCAGGAGGAGGCAGGAGGCAATAGGAACCAAGATTGTGTGGATCCCAAACCAGTGCAGCTGTTCCTCCACCGTGCCTGGAAAAAGCCAGGGTGACACTGACCCCAAGACAGCACATCACCATGGCAGTGGGGTGACCCTGCAGGTGGCCATGGCAGGGTTCAGCTGGGAACAGAGGATGGAGAAGGGGCCTGTTCCCAGGCCCTGCCATCCTGTCACCGTAACTGGCTGGTAACCCTGTCCTTGCCCAGCTRTGCCCACCAGTGCTAAGAAACCCTGGCAAAAGCCAGCAGGTCCCACTCGTGSGGTATATTTTGCCTCCAGAAGTACAAAGGATGCTGCTGCCTGCATCCCATGTATCCAGATGGGGCTTGCCCCTACAGCTGCTGCCTCAGGCCATTTTCTATTTGCTTGGCCGTCCCTCAGCTGCTGAGCCCTGCCGTGTTCCAGTCCATCCCATCCCACTGCAGCCCTCAAAACATACCTTTGCTGCTGGAGTTGCTGCCCCAGACAACAGGAACGCTCCACTCACTCCAGAGCTGGGTCTTGCCACAGAACTGGTTGATCTTGCTGCGCACGTAGAAGGTGTAGTACTTCTCATAGTCCACGCTGGGTAAGGAGAACACATATCCATTCACCGAGAGCTCCTGCAGAGACATGAACTGTGTGCTACTGGCTGGGACCACCATGGAGCCTGGGGCACAACTCACCCCCAGGCATAGCCATAAGGGTGCTGTGCCCAGGGCTCTCACCGTCCAGCTGGTGTCCTTGTTGCTCTTGTACTTGACGGCATGCTCCAGGCAGTTGGGTCTGGAGTACGGGGTGGCCCAGGTGAGCTGCAGCTGATTGTTGCTCATGTTGCTCATGGTCAGGTTGATGGGCACCCCTGGTTTCACTGCAAAGGACAGGTGATGCCCAGTGAGGGCTGGCCCCATGCCCCAGAGGCCCTGCTGCCAGCTGGGAGCTGATGGGGCAGCCCCGAGGATTCACAGCCCTGCAGGAGAAAGGGGGTCCTCCCCACCAATCCGTACCCTGGTCCTGCAGCTCCATGCGCTTGCTGGGAATCTCCAGGGTCTTGCCGCCAACACTGGCATTGACGAGGACATGGAAAGGCTGGAACTGGATGAGCTCRCTCTTGTTGAAGTAGCAGCCGATCCTGACACCCTGGTTCTGCAGGTAGTGCTTGCACTCCACCTTCTCAGATGCATTCTTATACCTGTGCCGCAATGTGTTACCAGGGCTCCCCAAGGCCTCGCATGCCCCAGCCCTCACCAGGACCCCTCTCCCCAGCACATTCCATCCTGCTCCTGGAGACAGAGCCTGCCCACTTTGGGCTCAGGGAGGAGGAGCAGCCTGATGCTGGGACCAGCAATGCTGGCAGTAGACCCCCTGTGCAAGGACCCACAGCTGGGCACTCTGCTATAGGACTGGCCGTGGGGCAGGGGCACCTACCAGTAGTAGAGGGAGTAGTTGACGGTGACTGTTTCTCTGCTCCCCCACATGCAGGTCATGTACTCCTCRTTGAAGAAGATACACTCCACCCCTGCAAGCAACAGACACTGCTGGGCATCACAGTGGCGGGTGGCTGTGCCAGGGCCCAGGGGTGCACCGGAGAGACATGGCACATGCCAGGTCCCTGTACATCCCTATGAGCCTCTCTCTGTGTGAACCAAACAAACTCATCAGCCAGCACTGCAGGCAAGGAGAAAGCCAGAGCTGAGCTTTCYTGGGTTGTAATGTAACACAGTGGAGGGCACAGGCTGTTTCCACACATGGAGATGGAGGGCACCTTTCYGTCAGCCCGGGTGGTCCAGGGATACAGAGGGGCTACATTTCCTCTGGAAGCTGTTGTTTTACTGACAGTCAGGYAAGGATTTTTTCTCAGAAAACAATGGCTGGCATGAGGGTGCCATGTGGAAAGAGAAGCCTCCATCTCCCGATCGCTTCCTGTGCACAGCAGTACTGAGGTGAYCAGAAAGGAAAGGGCAGCTGGCACAGATCTGCTGACCGCCATCCTGGCCAGCACCCACACGTAGCACAGACCAACGGGATCTGCCAGTAGAGTGATGGGGCAGGAGCATTGCAGGACTAGTAGCCAGGATGCTGGTGGGGTCAGAAATGCTCCAGCACTGCGGTGGGAACAAGGACAACCACCAAAGAGCTCCTTGGTACAGCCTGACCCTCCTGGCAGCCCCACTGCAAGCGGCCATACAGGTACCGCAGGTTCTGGGGCGCATTGGGGGTCACAGGGTATCTGGTGTGCGCCACAACAGCGCACCAGCCCACGCAGCCCCACATCCTGCCCTCCGCGCCTGCCATCACTGGGGAGCTCCATCCCCCAGACCCACCCGCAAAAGGGGCCCGTGGCCTTCCCATGTGCCCCCTTACCTGAGTGGCTTTGGGCAGCAGCGGGGCAGGGGTCCGGCCCACAGAGGAAGAGGAGGAGGACAGGTACGAGGAAGGTGCCAGGAGCCGCCATGGGGGAGCTGACAGGGACGCGTGTGAACAGCCTCGCACAGGGCTGCCGGCTTCCGCACCAGACTTCCTGTCCCACGACATTGCCTGCACTGGGGCCTACTCTACGTGCTGCTCCGTGGGCCGCATTGACGGGACCACAGCTCACCCCAGTGGGGCCCCATGGCTCACTCCAGTGGATCCCATGGCTCATCCCTCTRGAACCCCACAGCTCATCCTATCTGGCACCCCATGGCTCATCCCACTGGGACTGCATCACCTTTCCTGCTCCGGTCCCGTGGCTCAACCCKTTTGGATCCCCCCAGTTCATCCTGGCATATTTCCATGGCTCCCCATGCCAAGCTGCAGGGATCACCGCCACTGGGCTGCCCCCAGGAGTATGGCTGGGATGGGAATCCCAACTCGCAATCCGGCTTGATCGCTGAGAGCTGGGCAGCACTGAATGGCACTGAGGCACTCGGAGGGAGTCACAGCGGGGCTGTGTGTGTGTGACAGTCCGGCCGATGTGCACGGGAACTGGGGCCGGTGCGGTGCTGGCCGCAGCGGGGGTGTTGAGGCCGGGGGTCCGGGGGTGCCCCAGTGTCGGGCCGGGGACAGCCGGGGCTGGGGGCGATGGGGGTGTCACGGGACCCCGCCCGGACACGCCACCGGCGCTGCGCCTCCGCCGGGGGGCGCGCTCGCTCCCCTCGGGCTGCCCCGTCACTCTTCGACACTTTCCGTCTCYGCTCGGCGCCGGCTCGGGCCCTCCCGGCATTGCTCGGAACTCCCCTGCGGCACTTCAGGTGTTTTTGTCCTCCTTCGTGCCTGCTTCGGGCATGCTCGGGTCTCTCCGKCTACTTTCGGAACTCTCCGCTTGCGCTCGGTGATCTTCGTGATTCCTCGGTCCAACCTCAGCAGTGCTCGGGTCTCTCCGGCACTTTTCGTGACTCTTCGCCAACAGTCGGGCATCTCCGGTGACTTTCGGGGCTCTCCGTTCTYCTTCGCCCGTCTTCGGCGGCGCCCACCTGCCCCGGCGCAGCGCTCAGCGCGCAGGCGCGGGCCGCCCCGGCGGCCCTTGTTGTGGCCCGGCCGCCCCCGCCTGGCCGGCCCGCCATGGCGGCCTTCGGCGTCCTCAGCTACGAGCACCGCCCGCTCAAGCGCCCGCGTCTCGGCCCGCCCGACGTGTACCCGCAGGACCCCAAACAGAAGGAGGTGCGGGGGTCGGGCGTGTTAGGGGGACCYGGGGTGCGGGACCGCCGTGCCGGGGCCGGAACTGAGGAAGCGCCGGGTTAGCGGCGCGGGGGTCGGGGACTGCGCGAGGGGGCCCCGTCCCGCCGGGTTCCCCGGGSTTGGGGGGCGCTGGCCGGGCCGGRGGAGCCGCAGTCCTGGTGTCCCAGCACTGCCCTGGGCGGTGCCTGGCAGCGAGGGCTGGGGGAGGTCGGGGGAGCAGCCGGGCCTTGCATCGCACAGCCCCCGCGGTGGGGACAGGCTGCGGCAGTGGGCGCGGAGGGGCCGTGCCGGGCCCAGCTCACCGTCCTTCCCCCCGCAGGATGAGCTGACTGCGCTGAATGTCAAGCAAGGCTTCAATAACCAGCCGGCRGTCTCTGGGGACGAGCATGGCAGTGCCAAAAATGTCAATTTTAATCCGGCGAAGGTGAGAGACGTCCCGACGGTCGAGGGGCGGGTTTGGCAGGGCAGGCTGCTGGGTCCTGAATAGTCCTGGGTCTCATTTYTTTCCTGTGTCGAGAACGAGGGGATCTTACCCTTTTGTATGAGTGTTTTAGGACTTGACTCTGTTTCTGTAAAAACTAAGTTCTGCATTCGTTTAGAGCTGTGTCCCACCTCTGAGAGAGCGGGTYCCTGTCTTTCTCATTGCATCTTAGGGGCAGGTCTGTATCTTCAATCTTCCTTAAACCAGCATGTAGGACTCCCTGTATTCTGCAATTAAAGCATAAGGCCATAATACTAGAAGGAAACTTCCTATTGGTTACATGATGGGTATGGTAAAAGAAAAGTACGATTTCTTGAAACATCTGGAAGTTCAAAAATGGGAGTTATATAACAGGCTTCAACTCCATTTTCCCAGTCTCTGAAATCAAGACGTTGACTTCCTGACAAAACAAATAGTAATGACCTGAGTTGGAAGGCARTCAATAAGCACAGGATATTTGTTTTGCTTGGCATGCTTCTGTCCGAGAAGCCTTCTGTATGGTTTGACAAGTATTTTTGAAGTGTTGTGTCCATCTCAGCTTGAGTCTCTTCTTGGTTATTGTATGAATTGCCTAGAAGCATTCATGTCTGCAAGTATAACAAAAGAGTTATTAGAAGGTTTTTTCTGTTTCAGAGGTTGATACTGGTGAGACTTATGGTAGAAATGATAAATGAAGTTTAAAGCATACTGAACAGGTCTTTGACCTCTGAAATGTAATTAATCCTCTTTTTTCTTCTTTTTCAGATCAGCTCAAATTTTAGCAGTATTATTGCAGAAAAGCTGAGRTGCAACACCCTGCCTGACACGGGGAGACGGAAACCCCAGGTCAATCAGAAAGATAACTTTTGGCTGGTGACAGCACGTTCTCAGAGTGCCATAAACAACTGGTTCACAGATCTGGCTGGAACTAAGCCTCTCACTCATCTTGCTAAGAAGGTATGTTACAGGAGAGGTGGCCTGGCAGGACAGARAATTTAATCTGTGCTTGTTTATGGAGGGTTTCTGAAGGTTCTTACTRTTTAGAGAAGTTTCTTGTCTATACATCTTGTGAAGCTTTCAGCTTGAAGAGCAGATTTAGGATTTGTGGTGCCCTGCCTGTAGTCATGCACACTTAGAGAACTGGTCTCTTGTCTGTTGTTTGGAGGTGTGTTCAGCTTTACTTTTTTGGCCTGTAAAGCAAGACTGATTTAATTTAAGGTTCGGTTGTTTTTCAGAAGAGCTGCCACTGTTGCCTTTGGTCTGTTGATTAGGACATTTCTACTGTGGGGGGGGTTTTCAAGTTCTTRAAAGTAATAGTGAGAATTACTGAAAATAATCACCTAAGTGACTTCCCAGACTTCTTGGTAGTGACAAGTTTCTGTTTTTCCACCGAGGWGAGTATGTGTGCTCTCCCTTGGTTTCAATCAGGCTATAGTATTTCTGTGCCCTGGGGTCTAAGGGTAGATGTTTTCCTTGTAGAATTCTATGGAGTATGAAAGAAGGGTCTTACTCTGGCATTTTATCAGGCCTAATAGCAAGGGAGATAACTCTCTCATGGAAGACCTATAAACAAGGAACTTGGGAATCTCATATGCATTGTGGAAAAACATAACTCCCAGTTGCGAAATGGTCTGTCACTCCTGGGGGGCAAATAAAACAATCAGATTTTCCCAGCATCTGACTCTTTATAAACTTAATCTTCTTTGCATTTTGGCTGTCAGTTTCCTGAGGTCATGGTGAAAGCTTGAACCCTTCAAGGTTTGCCCCAGTTTTTCTGCAATAAGCTCCATCACATTTCATGAACTTAGATGTGAAAGAACAGCTGTCAGTAGCCAAGTAGTCTGTCTTTGAGGTATCAGAGAGTAATTGGGAAGAATGTAGGAAACATAGCAGGTAAATGAACTGTCAGTGGTTCAGGGACTTGAAGATACCTACCAAATGGGCCGTTTTTTTGTGGGTTTTTTTTTTCTCATTCCTCTGTGAAAACACACATACTTTTGCTCTCCAGAGTATTGCATGGAAATTAGCCCCACAGCTGTACTTTTTCCTGTGATCTGTTATTACTTCCTGGTTTATAGGCTTACAGTCTGATGATTTCACTGGTATCCTCCTATGTTGTATCTTGGATTAATGAATGCCTTCCTACTGTGGTACTCGATTCCCTGTTTCTCACGGTCTTCTGTTGGGTATTTATATTACAAGACCTTTGTAGCCACTTTGTTTTATATACAAGAAGGAAAACCCTGTCTTCAGCAGATACTTTGTATTTCTGACTCAGTCCTTAGTTTGTGTCTTTCATAGTTCTTTACCTGCTCTCTGGAGGACAAGAGGTTTTGCAAGATTCAGGGTGTGGGTTTACAGTGATTTAGTTATATTTTCTGTCTTCTTTCAATTTTTTTTGTTTCTGTTTATACTGAAATGCAACTCTGGTTCTGCTTTCTGACCACAGGTGAATTTTGGCAGTAGGTTTTTTTGAGGTTGCTTTGTTTCCTTTATACCTTTTCCATGCCTGCAGTAGGTATAGCTGCTTTAGCTGCTTCAGTTCCTATGCTAAGTTCTTGGTTCAGTTCTCTCTGTCCATTCTGTTACAGGTGCCCATCTTTAGCAAGAAGGAAGAGGTCTTTGGTTATTTGGCAAAATACACTGTTCCAGTAATGAGAGCAGCATGGCTCATCAAAATGACTTGTGCCTATTAYGCTGCCATCACGGAAACAAAGGTGAAAAAGCGTCATGTCATTGATCCCTTCATTGGTAAGCACTTCTTGTGAAGCACTGGATTTGCCTGTTGCAGGTGTTTCCTTCTCAGCCTTGGTTAGTAAGAGGTAGCCTGGAAATCTATATAAACTTGTTTCCTGCTGATAAGTCCTTGGGTTCTGACRTGTGTAACTGTCTGAACAACAGGCCCACCTGTGAGTCTACACTGAAAAATAAGTCTCAGCAGCCATAAATACTTCCTGGGAGCCTGTGTCTTTTTTCTCCCTTTTAAATTTTACTGAGCTTCTCTGCTGCATAACCTGTATTTTTCTTACCATAAAAAGATTGTAAATGCTACAATTTAGTCATGACTGATTAGTTACTTCCCAAGTAAGTATGTACATTTCCTMGAGAATTTTGGTATGTTGCTCCCTGTCTATGTTTCCAATTTCATTAAGCATTACCAAATCCAACATTCTTTGTGTCCTGGCCTGTCCCAGATTGCTGTGGTCTAGGAGAGTTCCTTGGCTGTGTTCTGGTTTCTTTGGGTTTCTATCCTGGTTCTATCCTGCTCCTGTTTGCCACAGTGCTCACTACTAATCTGTTTTCTCCAGAATGGACCCAGATCATCACCAAGTACCTGTCAGAGCAGCTGCAGAAAATTGCRGAGTTCTACAGACAGCTCCCAGGGCAAGGCTGTGGTTCACCATCAGGACCAATGCCCCAAGAGGTGGAACAGGCTTTGAAGCAGTGGGACTACAATGAGAAACTGGCTATGTTCATGTTCCAGGTGAGGGACTGGCAGGGGCTGCTGGGTGGGTGTGTGGCAGTGGAGGGTGAGGGGAGTGGGTGCCAAAGGATTTATTTCTGCAAAATAYTCTCTTTCTGTGAAGAGACCACTAGGACTAGATTCAGTTTTGAGCTCAGTAATAGGGTAGCACAGAACTTGAAAACTTAACAGAGTTATTTCCGCTGTTTGAAAGCAAGCTGCTGCTGCTTTGCCTTACCTTAGTGGAGGTTATTTCAACTTTCATCCATTTGCTCTGCTTCTGTCTGTGTGCAGGATGGCATGCTGGACCGGCATGAGTTCCTGACATGGGTCCTTGAGTGCTTTGAGAAGATACGATCAGGAGAAGATGAATTTCTGAAAATGCTCCTTCCTTTGCTGCTGCGGGTGAGAAATACGCACTCAGCTTGATTTGGGAGAATGCTGACTTCTGCTTTGTCTGTCCCCTTCCT